ACTTTCCCCCCCAAAAGACTTCTCATCCATTACTTTTGCATCATGGAACTTCAGAGCTGAAGGGGACCATCAGACAGTGTGGCACGTCTACAATTTCAGAGGTGAGGAAACAGACTCACTAAGGAAAGTGAAGTGACTTGCCCAGTATCACAAAGTGGGAGCAGGGAAAAGAATTTCATTTTAACTTTCAAGAGAATTCAGCCCAGACATGGTGGCTCACGCCTGTAATCCCAGCACTTTGGGAGGCCGAGGCGGGGTGGATCACTTGAGGTCAGGAGTTCAAGACCAGTCTGGCCAACATGGTGGGTTTCTACCACGCCCGGCTAATTTAAAATACAAAAATTAGCCGGGCATGGTGGCGCATGCCTGTAGTCCCAGCTACCTGGGAGGCTGAGGTATTCAAGTATTGCTTGAACCCGGGAGGTGGAGGCTGCAGTGAGACCGTGCCACTGCACTCCTGCCTGGGCGACAGAACAAGACACCGTCTCAAACAAACAAAAAGAAAACTCCAGGTTTACCTAGAGGACCAGAGGCCTTTTGCACATGTGCTGTGATTTCCAGGGCTCTGAACGGTGAGGGATGGAGACACAGTACCCTTCTTTCCTTCTCACCACAGCTAAAATGCATGGGTCACCAGTATAATATCTTTAACATTTTGTTACACATTTTTTTTTCCCTTGGTTAAGCACAAACTTATAAATCTCATTTCCAAGAAACTTTCTAGAAATGTCAATACCCTTGTAATGACAAATGTTTCGTTTGCTTCCCTGTTAGGATCTACAGTTCCCTCCTCTGACTTGCATGTTATCACCTTTCTACTAACAGTGGATTCTTCTTCCAGGAAAGGGGCTGTGAATCACTCTTCTCCATAAAAATGATGACATCATGGGAAGATATTTCTGCCAACGATATATCAAAATGACAATAATATGTACCATCTATAGTTTGCAAAATTATTAACAGTAGGAAAACACATTAACTATATTTAATGTGACACAGTGTCATGTACCATACAAATTATTTTACTTCTTTTTGCCTATCACATTATTTTTGGAACCTAGAAATAATGAATCAGGAGCTGAAAGAACCACCAGCAGGTTTGTAGATTCAGAACGGCATTTCTGGAGAGATTTTCACAGGCACTTTTGAGACTTTGGGAGATGGTAGAACTTAGGGCTATTAGATGTCTTTTTGAGCAACCATTCTAAGCAACTGTTTGCTACACTGAAAATGTCACTTCACTAAATGTAGGCCTTAGACTAGCAAGTTGCGGATCATTCTGTCGTCTCTGAAGGTTTTTCTTTCTTTCCTGAGTCGTCATCTTGACTGCTCTATCTTGCACACTGGTGGCAACAGGGCAGGCAGCTGCTTTTTAAAATACTTAATTCCAACCCTAAGGAGCATCACTTCTTCACTCTAGCACTGTGCCTTGCACAAGGTAAGGGATTAAAATATGTATTAAAAGTTTAAACAATGGGTTTGTAATCATTACAAAACACTCTCCTGTTACCATGGATTTTTTTTTTTTAACAAATGGGACTCTTTGTTATCCTTCTGAAGGTGAAATAACTAACATTTCCTGATCACTTAATATATGCCAGGCATTTTCCCCTCGTTATCTTCTAAGAACTCTCTGAAATAGTATCTTTACACGAAAGAAAACAAGGCTCAGAGGTTAAAGTAACCTGCCCTGTCAACTTTGGTCTATCTGGTTATAAAGTCAGAGTCATTCCACTATGTCCTGCTTCTTGAGGTTATAAAGGAAAGACTGTCACATGACAGGAAGTTTCTCCATCCCCAAATGAAACCAGGAAGGAGGAATCCATGACACTGATCTGAGACCACATGATCCATTCCATACACAATTGTCGAGGATATCCTAAATCCTTTAAGAATTAAGAAGCTAAGGCCAGGCCCTGTAGCTCACGCCTATAATCCCAGCACTTTGAAAGGAGGATCCCTTGAGCTCAGGAGTTCCAGATCAGCTTGAACAACATAGTAAGCCCCCTGACTAAAAAAAAAAAAAAATCAAAAAATTAGCCAGCCAGTGGCATGAGCCCCTGTAGTCCCAGCTACTCAGGAGGCTGAGGTGGGAGGATCATGTGAGCCCAGGAGGTCAAGGCTGTGGTGAGCCATGATCAAGTCACTGCACTCAGCCTGGGCAAGAGATGCTGTCTCCAAAAAAAAAAGCTGAAGTGTGTACAACTATCATATCTCAATTAAAAAAGAATTAAGAGGCTAAAGTTTACAACTAATTATGTAGGTTTTTACTGAAATAATTTATGAAGTAAATTTGTTTATTAGGTTCTAGATTTGGCCTTTGCCAATTTTTAAATGTGAACCACATCATGTTTTATAAATAAGACATTTAATTATAATTCATCCATACACAACTGGTTTGTATCAATACCAACATTTATCTATTTGCTTCAAGTGTATAATTCTAAGTCAAAAGAGACCAGGTTTGATTTAATGTTTTAAAGTAGCTAGATTCCATTTATACTATCTAATAAAAGCCACTTCTAATTTCCACATTATTTTCAGTTTGTGGCCAGCAGTCTGGTTCACACTAGCTGAGTGATACCCTAGCAATTGGCCTCCACTCAAGAAAAATATCTCCTAGGTTTGGGTATTAAAAGTTTACTACTGGCTGGGCATGGTGGCTCACACCTGTAATCCCAGCACTTGGGGAAGCCGAGGCGTGTGGATTACGAGGTCAAGAGATCGAGACTATCCTGGCCAACATGGTGAAACCCTGTCTCTACTAAAAATATAAAAAATTAGCAGGGCATGGTGGAGGGCGCCTGTAGTCCCAGCTACTCAGGAGGCTGAGGCAGGAGAATCACTTGAACCCAGGAGACAGAGGTTGCAGAGTTGAGATCCCATCATTGCACTCCAGCCTGGTGACAGAGTGAGACAGTCTAAAAAAAAAAAGTTTACTACTGGGTCAGATGCAGTGGCTCATGCCTGTAATTCCAGCACTTCGGGAGGCTGAGGCGGGTAGATCACCTGAGGTCAGGAGTTCGAGACCAGCCTGGCCAACATGGTGAAATTGTGTCTCTACCAAAAATACAAAAAATTAGCCAGGCATGGTGGCAGGCACCTGTAATCCCAACTACTTGGGAGGCTGAGGCAGGAAAATCGCTTCAACCCAGGAGGCAGAGGTTGCAGTGAGCCAAGATCATGCCACTGTACGCCAGCCTGGCGACACAGCAAAGTTCCGTCTCAATAAAAAAATAAATTAAAAAAAAAAAAAGTTTACTACTAGGCCAGGCGCGGTGGCTCACACCTGTAATTCCAGCACTTTGGAAGGCTGAGGTGGGCGGATCACCTGAGGTCAGAAGTTCGAGACTAGCCTGGTCAACATGATGAAACCTGACTCTACTAAAAATACAAGCTAGCCAGGCATGGTGGCGGGCACCTGTAATCCCAACTACTTGGGAGGCTGAGGCAGGGAATCACTTGAACCCGGGAGGCAGAGGTTGCAGCGAGCCGAGATGGTGCCATTGTACTCCAGCCTGGGTGACAGGGCGTGACTCCATCTCAAAAAAAACCAAAAAACAAAAACAAAAAAACAAAAACCCCTCAAAGTAATGAATTACGATTTTCTAAACATAAATAGTACTAAATAGTAATTAATTCTCTAAACAGAACCATTATTTCATGTGATATTTTAAAAATTTAAAAAATTTTTAAATTTAAAAAATCCTGTATCTCAGTGGTTCTATTTAAGATCCTAGGTATAGTACCTAATATGTTATGAAACTATAATCTCTGATTTGTAGAACTTAGAATTCATAAATAAGGCAGTGAAGAGTTAGTCATGGAATCTGATATATCTGTTATTCATATAACCTGAAGGGTAATTTCAGCAGACCTCAACTATGTAACATGATGATGAATAGATAGCATTGAACAGCTATGCTCTATAAACCCTTGAATACCAACCAAAAAGGAGATGGAAATCGCCCTAAAATGAAGTTCAAGAAAAATTTTCTAACTAGTGGAGTTGTGGGGTTCTCTACCCAGGATTCTTCTCCAGAGGTTTCTAAAATGGAGAGGTTTTTGGGTTTTTGGTGAGGGATGGGCAGGGTACAGATAATAAGGACACCCAGAAGACTTGACTGACACTTGTGACAACTAATGGCTCTTCCTTCACAGAAGGAAGAATCCGTTCTTCTGTTAAGGAGGGCCCATTTATCTAGACTCACGCAATGACCGTGATTCCAAAAGACTGACCGAACATTACCAAGTGGGCAGGCTACATTTCTACAAAGACAGGAAGAAATATAGTAATCTAGCAGATTGCAAAAGCATATCAAAAGATGAACTGTTTTCATCAGCCAACCTTTATGAATGCTAACATGTCCAGTCCTCTTACACTTTATCACTAGGTTAAAAAGAGGATTCAAAAATTTTCAGAGTCGAATACTGACAATTTTTTAGTCCTCATAATATATGCTACGTACTTACGTTTTTAGATGGTAAATACCATTGTGTGTTAACTATATGATAATACATTCACCAAGACAGGGATTGCTGACTCTACAGGCAACCACAGCATCTTTGAAAGGCATTTTGTCTATAGCTAAGAGGTGGGCATTTGAAGTCTAAAACACAGCTACCTGTAATTCAGTTCTGTGCCTTCTCCACACTCCTCCAACAGAATGGATGCATAAAACATTTTCATCTAAAGTTTACAAAAATATAAATAATTTTAGAGCTGCAAAAGGGCCCTAGTGATAATCTGGTCAGACTCTTCCCCAAGTTTATAATTGAGCCAACTGAAGTCCTCGCAGATTAACTACCTTGTCTACGTTAGCATGGAGGGAACTCAGCCTTCCAGCTTTGTCTCACATTGTCTGGGGCTCAGCTCTCAAAACAACTAGCTTGCTTTAGCTAGAAACAGATTCTGCATATCGAATATGCTATACTCATGTTTAAAAATTACATAAAAGCAATGTTAATTTTTCACTTAAAATGTCATACCAACAAACTTGTGATATAGTGTAACCATTTTATTAATATGAAGCAATGGGATAAATCCTTTAACAGGGGTACTGACTTACTACCATGAATATGTACCGATACTTTGATACTTTGGTGCAGTATCATGCCTGATTAAGTCAAATAATGTGTTATTTACTAGCACTGCCACACATGTAAAAACACTTACATTTCATTGGTTGATAGAAGAGCACACAGCCATGTACCTCGTTTCTGGTTTAAATGCACAGAAATGTTCTCACGTCCAGTGGATTTTTCACCACTCAAGGACTTCATAATAGATGAACAACTTTTCAATACGCTATTTCTGCCTGCTATTTTTTTTTTTTTAAGTGAAGAGAGAGGGGGAAAAAACCAATACTGTGGTACAAAAGACCTTTTTACAAGGTCCTTTCTGGAGAAATGTTGAGAATACAGTTATAGTCCTATAATGAGACTATAATCAAGATCATCCTACAAGGACATGAGGGTAGACTCACTCTCCTGGAGAGTTTCTGATCTTATTAAGACTATTATATTTGACTGGCTTTAAAAACAAAGAATATTATAATGAATAGAGGGGGGATATTCTAGCAGAAGACTTTCCTAGAGGTTATTTTGAACGTATTTCAATCCTATAATGACTGTAATGAAAACGACTTGTTAGGTCATTCTACTGAAGTTTGTGTCCAGAAAAACACTCATGATAATATAATTAAATGCTGTTTTTGATGTTTTGTGAAAATACAGAGGCCATGAAAACAGAAAAATGTAGCACTATTACAAAGAGTAAGGAAACACTCTCAAAGAATAAACACATAACACATAAAACGTTTAAATGGTATCTAATAAATTTTCATGTCAAATCTTTTAACTAAACATATAAAAATTTTAAATGGCAACTAATAAATCTTCATGTGAAATCTTTTAACAAAATCTACAAATAGATTATAAAAATTGAACAATCATAAATGTCTTATGTATAAAGTTTTAAGGGAAGGTTTAAATTTTGACATTATTCTGTTTAATCAAATACTTGAGGAATTTTAGTTACTGCTGAGCAGCAGTCAATTGATACATTTCTAAAATAATTCAGTTATGAAAATAATATCACAATTAAGGTTTGGCATAGTAGCATTCCATCAATCTTCAGTCATCCACAAATGTTAACCGCCCAGGCCCTTCATTCTTCATCCATCTCCTGTATCTCTTCCATCTGGGGTCATTTGCCAACTTTTTCTTTAATTCCTCCTCTTGTTCTTGCTTGTAGACCTGTAAGTATAAATAACTAGATAACTTCACAATCCAAAGAGAAACATTTGCCATTAGCTTTATGGCATATTTACATTTTTCAAATATAATGTTAGGTAAAAAGTTTCCAGTGAATGTATTGATAATCATTCACCTCCTAAAAATACTAAACAATTAAGTATTTTATTTATTTATTTGCAATTAACCATTTTAACATTCAGTGTTAAACATGAAAGAACAACCTGTATAAGAACTAGCAATTTTGTGGCCACGTGTGGTGGCTCACGCCTGTAATCCCGACACACTGGGAGGCTGAGACGGGTGGATCACCTGAGGTCAGAAGTTCAAAACCAGCCTGGCTAACATGGTGAAACCCCCATCTCTACTAAAAAATACATATAAAAAATTACCCAGGCGTGGTGGCACGTGCCTATAATCCCAGATACTGGGGAGGCTGAGGCAGGAGAACTGCTTGAACCTGGGAGGCAGAGGTTGCAGTGAGCTGAGATCATACCATTGCACTCCAGCCTGGGCAACAAGAGTGAAACTCCAACTCGAATTAAAAAAAAAAAAAAAAAAAGAACTAGTAATATATATTTTTTTGAGACAGGGTCTCTCTTGGTTGCCTAGGCTGGAGTGCAGTGGTACCATCTCAGCTCACTGCAATCTCTGCCTCCTGGGTTCAAGCAATTCTCCTGTCTCAGCCTCCCTAGCTGGGACTACAGGAGCATGCCACCACGCCTGGCTAATTTTTTTGTTTTTGTTTTTGTTTTTAAAGGAGAAATAGGGTTTCACCATGTTGGCCAGGTTGGTCTGGAACTCCTGGCCTCAGGTGATCCACCCACGTCGGCCTCCCAAAGTGCTGGGATTACAGGTGTGAGTCACTGCACCCAGCCTAGAACTAATAATTTTTTGTCACTGATTTCTGTAACCTAGGAATAGGAATACATTCTTTTACTCAATGAAAATTGACTAAAGGGCTTAACATTTCCCCTCTACAACTAATGTCTAATATCAAAGAATCAAAACTTTATTTTTTTAATATGGTCCTTTGTAAATTTAACTGATGACTTTCAGATTTGGTGATCTTAACCAAGGAACAAAATGACCTTACATACATGTTCATCTCCAAACTGAACTTACATCTACTTTCATCTAAAGATAATTATGAATTTTTTCATTTTTTTAAATTAAAGTTTCCAAAGAAGGTTAAATAAACCACAGAGTTAAAACTCATGAGAACACAGAACATCCGCATTTCTTGCAACCTTTTTTTTTTGCGATGGGGTCTCACTCTGTCACCTAGGCTGGAATGCAGTAGCACAATCTTGGCTTACTCTAACCTCCGAGTAGCTAGGACCAGAGGCACCACCATGCCCAGTTAATTTTTTGTATTTTTTGGTAGAGACAGGGTTTCACCATGTTGCCCAGGCTGGTCTCAAACTCCTGAGCTCAAGCAATCTGCCTGCCTCGGCCTCCCAAAGTGCTGGGATTACAGGCATGAGCCACCGCACCCGGACTGCAATTCTGTAACTTTTAATGCACGTCAACTAAAGCAAAATGAACAAGCTGTCTTAGCCAGTTTCATAGCCACATAACATTTTGGAAAGAAAGGATTTTACTTCCAAATATTAGGAAGAAAAGACTAAGACAACTTCATACGATAACATAATTCAGCCCACAACAGCACCCTAAGAAAGACACGGTTTTGCAGATTCAGCTGCTTCTCCTTCTTAAAAAAGAAAACCTTTAAACTTTTAACCTACTTAAAAGAACAAGCTTTTCAAATAGTTTAGGAGCTAACTGGTATGCTGTAACTAAATAACTTTTTTTTTTTTTGAGATGGAGTCTCTCTCTGTTGCCCAGGCCAGAGTGCAGCGGTACAATCTTGGCTCACTGCAACTTACGCCTCCCTGGTTCAAGCGATTCTCCTGCCTCAGCCTCCCGAGTGGCTAGGATTACATGCGCACACCACCATGCCCAGCTATTTTTTTTGTATTTTGAGACAGGGTTTCACCATGTTGGTGAGGCTGGTCTCGAACTCCTGACCTCAAGTGATCTGCCTGCCCTGGCCTCCCAAAGTGCTGGGATTACAAGTGTGAGCCACCACACCGGCCCTAAATAACATTTTTTATTTTATTTATGAACAGGATAAATATATAGGTATACTTGGTAAAATATCGGGCAATTCACAGTAAGTTAAATTACGTAAATATAATTCAGACCAAAACTTTAATTTCAGTGAAATCTATTTAGGACATCACATACAAAATGAAATGACTGTGAAACTAAAAAAAACTAATGTATCTCAGATTTCTTAAGAAGGTTTTGGCTGGGTGCAGTGGCTGATGCCTGTAATCTCAGCACTCTAAGAGGCCAAGGTGGGCAGACTGCTTGAGTTCAGGAGTTTGAGACCATCCTGGACAACATGGCAAAACCCCAACACTATACGATAAAAACAAGAAAAAACCACCAGGCGCGGTGATTCACGCCTGTAATCCCAGCACTCTGGGAGGCCGAGGCGGGTGGATCACGAGGTCAGGAGTTCGAGACCATCCTGGCTTACACAGTGAAACCCTGTCTCTACTAAAAATACAAAAAATTAGCCAAGTGTAGTGACGGGCGCCTGTAGTCCCAGCTACTCGGGAGGCTGAGGCAGGAGAATGGCGTGAACCCGGGAGGTGGAGCTTGCAGTCAGATGAGATCACGCCGCTGCACTCCAACCTGGGCAACAGAACAAGACTGTCTCAAAAAAAAAAAAAAAAAAAAAACCACAAAAGTTTCACTGTGCTCTATTCTTATATTTAACATAATAGCCAATTAATTTTACCCTGAATCTAAAACAGTGTCATTATAATAATGAGACTGCTAATCCCTTTAACACCATGGCTACGTAGCTGATCACCTCAAAGTAATTTTTGTAGGTGACAACTGTAGCATAAAGCATTTATTAAAATGCCCGGAAGTTTAGAGGTATTACAGTAATTCGATTTAATTTAAAAGTAAAATAAAAGTAACTTTCTATAGATGTCAGTTATTATGCAGAAGATCTTGTGCTCAATTATTTTGAAATGAAGTCATCTCAACAAAATTTCCACATTTCACTCTGTTTTTTTTGTTTTTTTTTTTTTTTTTTAGTTTCTGTGGCTAGGTTTACAGGATTGGAAGAAAACTTGGGGCGGGCCAAATTTTAGTTAGTGCAAACATGCATATCCTTCCAATGCAGTTTAACATTCTTAAAACTTTTCTAGAATTGTCAATTAAAGTATTTGAAGTTCATCCTCTAAAAAGAGAAATTACAGGTTAAAAACCCACTGTCTCACTACCAAATAGAGTCCTACTTCCAATAAAAGTAAGATCTTTACTAATTGTTTAACTGTTGGATTTCAGAAATGTGAGCAGACTTCTGTGATCCCTCGTTATAATACACCTGATTTTAACTTGACCAGGTGGATGACAGTAAAAATCACAGCAGAGTGACTACTCACCTCATAATTCTCCTTGATCCAGAGCTCTCGTTTAAGAAAAGTTTCTTTCTGATGATCTTCTAGACTATCAAATTGAGACTTTGACATCTTCATAGATTTACGTATAATGTACAATCTCTCTTCCTCTCCATATTCTTTGCCTTTGATGTTAAAATTATAGATCCACCGGCAATACCAAACTATATATGAACATAGGTGAAAAGGAGCTAAGATAATTTGAAACAGGAGAAGATCACAGATTTGGGGTTTCTGATAGCCCCCCTTTATATCTATTTTACTTTTTATAATGTTCTTTATGATGTTCTCCTCCTCGTCACGAATTTCCTCTTTGGACTTTTTGTTTTTGCCTTTTTCTTTGGCTTTTTTGAGCAGTCCCTGCTGCTTGGCAATCTCTGTAGCCTGGATACGGTACTTGGGCACTGTGGCTAGGTAGCTGATTGCCTTATTGTAGCTATTCCACCAGCTGAAAAACTAGAATAATTAACAGAGAACAATGAGTCATTTTCATTACCCAATCTAAGTTAAAGGAATGATAGAGTCTCGGTGAATACCATCTCCCAAGAAACCATTACAGTTAAAACTAGGGATCTCAAAGATACTACTTTGTAAGTAAAAGATACAACTGAATGAAGCCCATGCATACACAGGATCTCAAGGCTGGATAAGTAAGGTAAACTCTGAGCTGAGCCAAAAATCACTGATGCAGTCAGGAGATACCCAAGATCAAAGGATGATCAATGTGTCATACCACACCTGTGGTTTCGTATCTTTACCATTTGGCTCTTCCCTAGATCGCTTAAAAAAAAATTTTTTTTCTTTTTTTTTTTTTTAAACAGTAACCTACTTACTAGAAAAAGAGTTAAATGGCAAAATCTAGCTGGTGAGGAATTTGTTTAAAAACCTCATAGGGCATAGTCTCAGGCAACTATATTCATTCCCATCTCTTTTCCTAAGCCATCTGCATATATCACAGTGGCACTCATCCTATTCTGAGAGATTCAAATATGGTTGAACTCTACCTATTTGGATAGGAAAACATTAACTTACATAACTGTATTCAACCACAAAGGATTTGTCAGAAAATGCCCTGCTTCTCACATATTACCTCCATAAATTTCAGCTCCTGTTTAACTGAATGAATATAGCAGATATACAAACAATATCCTGCAATAGTAGCAATCTATTAAGAATATATTTTAAAGTTACTACAGTATTACATTGTTTAAAACAAAAAAGTAAAATTATCCTTGCTCTCCCCTTTGAAAGGGTAAATCGTTCTACAAATGCTGACACATTTTAAATATACCACCTTAGTTTCCAATACAGTTTTTATTCATAAAAATGGAAAGTCAGCCAAGTGCAGGGGCTCATGCCTGTAATCCCAGCACTTTGAGAGGCTGCAGTAAGTGGACTGCTTGAGCCCATGAACTCAAGACCAGCCTGGGCAACATGGCAAAACCGTGTCTCTACTAAAAAAAATACAAAAATTAGGCAGGTGTGGTGGCACATGCCTGTAGTCCCAGCTATTCGGGAGGCTGAGGTTGGAGGATCACCTGAGCCCAAGAAGTAGAGGCTACAGTGAGCCACGATCACTCCACTGCACTCCAGTCTGGGTGACAGAGTGAGACCCCATCTCTTAAAAAAAAAAAAGAAACAAAACACACTGAATATCATGTCATTTCTGGGAATCAAACTGGAGAAGTAATTTTCAAACAAGCAAATTGCTTCATTCTAGTCATCTGACTTGCTCATTTCCTCTAAAGGAGCATGTGATAGGTGTGGCTAGTTTAATAACAGGGAAAACTTATTTTAGGCAGAAGTTAAATTTTTGTGATACTTTACAACATAAAAAGCTCCTGGCTGGGCGTCGTGGCTCACGTCTGTAATTCTAACACTTTGGGAGGCCAAGGCAGGCGGATCACAAGGTCAGGAGTTCGAGACCATCCTGGCCAACATGGTGAAACCCCCATCTCTACTAAAATACAAAAAGCTAGCCGGGGGTGGTGGCGGGCGCCTGTAGTCCCAGCTACTCAGGAGGCTGAGGCAGGAGAATGGCATGAACCCGGGAGACGGAGGTTGCAGTGAGCCGAGATCGTGCCACTGCACTCCAGCCTGGCAACAGAGTGAGACTCTGTCTCAAAACAAAAACAAAACAAAAAAAAGTTCCTATGTCTCTTTTAATCTATTTCAGTGGTTTCAACCTGAGCAGAAGCACCCTTAAAGGGGCACGCAGAAGTGCGTGGACATTTCTGGTTGTTAAAATAATGATGGCAAGCACTACTGGCATTTGGTGACTAGAGCCAGGACTTGTTAGGCCAGATTAAGGAATTCAGATTTCTCCCACGTTTAATGGGAAGTCATTGAAAAGTCCTACGAAGGTAAATGATATGAATTAGCTGATGTTCACTCTGGCTACTATGTAGAAAATACTCCAGAGGGAGCAATGAAAAAGGCTCTAGATTTTTGAGGGGTTGTTTTGTAGTAATAATGACATTCTTCAACAATTTCTTAGATTTGCCACTAACAAAGATTCTAATACTGCCAATGAATAAAACAGATCTCAACTAGAAGTAAAATTTTACAAAGAGATACTCACAGTTAGGTTTTAATGACTAGCACTAGGCAATGTGCACTAAATGCACATAAATATAGATACAAATATCCACGGATACATACCTGAAACACTGAAATAGCACACACACTGACCAAAATCACGACTCTAACATCCACCTTAGGGGCCAAGCGCCTGCTATAGTAGTGGTAGTAATGGCTGTAGTACTCTTCTGGATGATCCAGCATGTAATCATAATCTTTTCGTGTTTCCTCATCCTGTAAAATGACAAGATATCCAACTTCACAGGACAGTCCGTTAAATGGCCTTAGTTTATAATCTGTTAAATCAAATACAGAATTTTATAATTATGTAAGGTTAATCTGAGTAAAAATACTGAAATTGTCAAAATCAAAAAATTTCCCATTACTCTTCAAAGCCATGTACATTTCCAAAACTTCAATATTAGATATAAAAGCATAACAAAAATATTTGTCTAAGTTCTTCAGTATTGTTAGTCCTCCTGGAAAAATAAAAACACTTTAATAACAATTAACCTTTCAATCTTTTTAGCTAATGCTTGGTGCTAATAAAAGCCTGTTCACAACTACTCTTAACAACTGTTGATTTTTTTAAAAAGCTTATTTCTTGTATATATTCACAATCATGTCCCAGCCTTGTATAGATAACTTTCTGCTAAAAGCAATGATTAAGACAGCAAAAAGTCGGTGAAGCCAGTCTGTGCCTACAAAACTGAATTATGCCCATCTCAAAGAAACACTGAGACACCCATGCAGTCCAACGGTCAAAGTCTAGCTTTGTGACCTCAGATAAAATATTTAGCCTCTCTGAGCCTCCTCCTTCTTCATTTACAAAAAGAGCTGACAATCCCTGCTGTATTATTTTTACATGGTTGTTGTGAAGATCAAATAACAAACATTATACAAAAACATGTTACAAACATGTAGTACTTCACTTCATCACTGTAATGTGTCGTCCAGCCCAGGTCACAAATGAGGTAACATATAGATCTTTCTTACTGATACAAACTCCTTGAAAGAATTATAGCATTCCAAAATGCTGCTCTGTATGCTCACAGATAAAACATTTTTTAAAAAAATTCTCTGATTCTAATCAATTTCTAACAGGGATAAATCCCAAATACTGAGCTAGGCAGGTTGCAGAGTTATTAAACCAGGTCACGATTTGCTCTTTATCTCACAGGAAACCTATTACATTTTCCAACTTGCCCCATTTCAAAAAAAAATTAAAGATAAAAACTATTATAAAATCAAAACAAATTCTTTAATCTCTATACATGAGTATAATAAAAACCATTACAAAAACAAAAGTCTGTTTTGCCAGGTGTGGTGACTCATGCCTGTAATCCCAGCACTTTGGGAGACCAAGGTGGGAGGACTGCTTGAGCCCAGGAGTTTGAGATCAGCCTGGGCGGCATAGTGAGACCTCGTCTTTACAAAAAATTTACAAAATTGTATTTGTGCAGGGCATGGTGGCATGTGCCTGTAGTCCCAGCTTCCCAGGATGTTCCCCGGGTGGAAAATCACTTAAGCCTGGGAGCGAGGCTGCAATGAGCCATGATCATGCCATCACACTCCAGTCTGGGCTAAGAGAGCAAGGAGCAAGACCCTGCCTCCAAAAAAAAAAAAGTCTTTATCTTAGAGGAATGAATTAGTCAATATTTATTAAGTTGTAGATTCCTAGCTAAAGGCATTTCAAAATCTAAACTTGGTGCCTTGCTACTGTACACAGATTCTCTGGGGTCTGTTCAGGACCACTTTCTGAGTCCTCCAACATGTAGTTTTTTAGATTTAAAGTATCTTTTAGATTATTTAAAGTATTTTTTAGATTTAAAGATTTTGCTAATGACAAAATCTTCCTTGCATCCATTAAAATCATTATGTATTTTCTATTAAGAATTTTGGGCCGGGCACAGGCGCTCATGCCTATAATCCCAGCACTTTGGGAGGCCAAGGCAGGCAGGTAACTTGAGGTCAGGAGTTTGAGACCAGCCTGGCCAACATGGCAAAATCCCATTTCTACTGAAAACACAAAAATTAGCCGGTCATGGTGGCCTGCACTTGTAATCCCAGCTACTCGGGAGGCTGAGGAGGGAGAATGGCGTAAACCCGGGAGGCGGAGCTTGCAGTGAGCCAAGACTGTACCACTGCACTCCAGCCTGGGCGACAGAGCAAGACTCCGTCTCAAAAAATAAAATAAAATAAAATAGTAAAGAAGTAAAGTAAAAGTAAAGTAAAAGTAAAGTAAAGTAAAGTAAAATAAATAAGATAAGATAAGATAAAAATAAGATAAAATAAAATAAAATAAAAATTTTGAATTTGTGTGAGATCATTCTCAGTAAGTTCTCCTATAGTCATTACATTCAAAAAATTTCTTACCTCTTACCAGTATATGAAATCATGTAAACTAGTAGCTAGCTTAATTAGATATGAATATATTTATATGAAGGGCCAATATGAAAACTGTCAGTTATACAAGGAGGGGTGAGCTCAAGCTAGTATTATTTTCAGATTCACTCCTTGTATGCTCTCTTCAGTCAAAAAGGATTTTCTTGTGGCAGCTGCTATATGCCCCAACTGTCAATCCGTGACTCCTTCTTTAAGTCATCATCCTATTCCAGAGCTTCTAACACAGAAAGGGTAAACCTATATAAGGGCCACACAGCAGCCCTGAAGACTAAAGCCCGTGTCTCTTCATGTGTCTCATTTTGAGTACCTCAAGAAATCATCTGAGAATTTTTCCATTCTCCCTCTGCTTTTTGGGCTAATTTTATAGAAATGCCCTGTTTTGGAGCCTAAAATCCTTGACTTTAACTTGGCATCCCAATCATGACAGATGCCTTTTGAAATGTATTTCTTCGAGTACAGTTCTTCTTGCTATAACTAGATTACACGTAGCTCTTAAACTAAATGCCACACTGAGATCAGATTCCTATGAGCCTCCTTGTCTCTGAGCAGCCCTTTGCCCCGGCTGTCTGTACTCCTCCTGGTTGAAGCATATGAAGTAAGGTCTTGGAGTGTCGTTGAAATCTGGTATGTGGACATCATGTGTCCAATGACTACTGCCTCTTTTTATTCTCTTATCTCTGTTCTACAGAACACAGATATCATCCCTCTTCAAGCATTTCACTCAGATCTTTCACCAGGGTCACCATTTTCTCACTGGTTTCTAGATTATTGACCTTACCAAGTTCTGAACTCCTTTAACACAATGGTCAACTAATACTCCAACACAAGCAACTCTAGAATTTATACCTTGTGTCTGGCCTCTCTGCTGCAAGCAGAGCTTGTGGAATCTGTTCAAGGTCCCCTAATGGAGTCCTCAAACTACCAAATTCCTGCAAGACATCTCAGGGTCAAGTCTGATTTCTCTTTGGATGGTTTTCTTTTCTTTAGGGTCACCATAAATGTATGACCCTGTTTTGGCCATGATTACACTAAAAAGTTGGCCACTTCCTTGTTACAGCATTTATTCAATTTATTTTATCTCCGCTCTAGGGCTAAAAGCTTTCTCTCCAAAGTCAAGAAAATGATCAGTTTTCATGCATACTGATGACGATCAGTGAGGCATGCATACACTTTAGAATCAAGGGCAGTACAAATTGGTAAAACTTAGGAGTTCTCAACAGCCTAAGTCAAACTTCTGCTCTTTAGTAACCTACAAAGTTTAGAATCAACCTAGTAAGAACAAGAGGATACCAAGAATATTAGCAAAGAAAAGACATAATAAGAAGGACCATCTTTCTTTCTGGGACTCAAGTAGAAAGCTAAGGTACATTCTTATTTGAATACCATATTTTTTTTTCCTACTCATCTTGAATTAAGGTAGCCGCACAATTTTTTTTTTTTTTTTTAACTCTCCAATGTTTTCTCATGGCCAAAGTTAAAATTTCCTTCGCATGCCACCAGGCCTTCACAGCTGGTCCAAACTTACCTACCTAGCAACATCCCTTATCATTTCCCCCTCTTTTATCCATAGGAAACATTCAGAGAGCGACTTCTGCAATTTGGTGTGTTATTCCAACACAACGTTCCTTTTTCATACCTATATCTTCAAACGTATATTCTTCTCTAATTTGAACCTCATGAGTCCTATTAATCCTTTAGAATGTAAATGTTACTGCCCCAGACAGTTAGATCATTCTTATTACACTTGGTACCTATTTATTATAGCACTTATCACATTGTAATAATCAGTTTTTTCTTTTCTTAGAATGAGAATTTCTAGAAAGTAGGTAGGGTAATTCATTAATCTCTGTATATCCAAGGCCTAGTACAGTGCCTGGCATTCAGTAAACATTATTTCAAAAACGAGTGAACTTTTGTGAAGGTTTTTCCTTGCAATATGCATCTCTCCACTACGTAGGTCTCCATCTCACCAGCAAGGCTGGATGGGTAGCGATGTCATAAAAACTTCAGTTTGGCAGAAGTGACTGCTTGAATTCATAGTTTATGAAAATATGCTACTGTGGCTAACATAGCTTAAACCTTAAAACAGTTTAATATCTTACCTTTCAATAAGGTAGTACTTTTTCTTTCAGCAATTTTGTGGATCTTAAGGTCCCAGGGTCTGGAGAGTCCAACTTCTTTCCAAAACCAAAACCTTTATACTTGTTTCTTCCTCCTGTCTGTCCTGAGCCTTGACAAGCAGGGCAATAAGCTCCTTGTTTCTAATCTCTACAGGAATAACTGTAGTGCTTCTGCTGGTGTCCATTCCACTCCCAATCCTCTTGGGCATATGCAGGAGGACTGGAACATAACCACCAATATCTAGATCAAAAGTGAACAAGAGGAAACCCACAAGCAAAGAAAGCACTGAATCCTTCCTTCTCTTAAAGGGGTCATCCCCCTCCCCAGAGGCAAAAATATTTATGTTCTTGCCCTTGAAGGAAGTCATGAACTGCGTGATCTCAGTACATAAATTGCAATAATTTGATATTGCAGCTAGTTTTACATTTAAAACTTCCTACTACACAGAGTATAAAAACCATTTTTGGGGTGGTAAAGGTCAGGAATCAATGATATATGAAAATGTATTACTGTATTCACTCAATATATATTAATCTTATTATTTTTTTTAATCCACACACACACACACACACACACACACAAATGATCCTTCAAAAAAAAAACAAAAAACAATCTCTGGTCTAAATTTTTTTCCAGGCCATTATATCCTACAAAAGAGGGAGAAAATTAACCACTACCCATTTCATTTTTTTTTCTTGTTTCCTGCC